ACACACACACACACACACACACACACACACACACACACACACACACACACACACACACACACACACACACACACAGAGGGTGCGCTTGTTTTACCTCCAGATACTCACCAGCAGGAGCGGGGTGTGCCAGCGCTTGGGTGGGTTTGATAGTGTTTCCTCAGGATTCATCCAAACCAACGGATCGATTGATGAATGGTAGATCTGAACACCCAATCAATCACCAGCAGATCGATCACACGTGGGGTTTTGTCCAACGTGTCACCGCTCAGTGCGTCTTCGAGCTCAGATAATCGGTGTGTTCCTGTGACCAGACCCACCGCACCCTGAAACTTAGCAGTCAGCTGCCAGGAAGCAGAGGCTGCTAGCTATTAGCTGTTGGCTAACGCTGCCAGTTGTCCGGTGGTTTATTTCATGAAACAAGAACAAGAACGGCTGTTCTCCAGAAGCCGAACATCTGACTCAGACTGAACATGAAGACCGTGTTTCTGCTCGAGGTTTTCTCCGTGGCTTGTTTTGTGCTGTTCAGCCAAGCTACAGCAAAGGTAAGGCTAACATTAGCTTCAGGGGGTTAGCATCACACAGTGAGGAAGTGGTGTTAGTGAACGAGAGGACATAAACATTTGTCTTTAAATCTCCCTTCAAGATCGATGATGTGTCTACTGTTGACTGTTCAGTGTTTCATTAACAAGGTTAGAATAACGCCTGACACCCTGAGCTAACACATGACCTGTGAAAAAGTCCCTAACGTGATGCTAATGGTGCTAAGAATGAGCTTGAGCTTATGGCTGTCAACATCAATGTATCCAGGAAATCACTTGTTTAAATGTATCAACGAGCTGTTGAATGTGATTATGTTTATTTTAGCTTGATGTAGCTCGAACTGGCTCATGTGTGCACACTGTAACATTAGCTAACATGATCACTAATCAATCAGTATTGGTTATTGGTGCAATGTGGCACGATACTAAAAGGTGGCCTGGATTTGGTTGATGTGCCAGCGATGTAAAACAGATGTAAAGTGTGATACAATATGTCTGACTTATCAAAACTAAAAGTAATGTACTGTAATTAAAGTATTCTAGATTCTCTTCATAAGTACATGTACTGTAATGCTGTGTAGCAACACTGTAACAAGTAAAGGTCATTCATTTACTTTATTTAAAGTACTCATTATGCAGAGTGGCCTATTTCAGAATGACATAAGGATTTATCAGATTTTTATAAATGGGTATGTACTGCCATGATGCAGCTGGCAAAGTTAGATTTTAATAGAGATGTTCTGATGTGCCGATACATACTGATACCGAGTACTGATCCAATAACAGCGCAAGAACAAACATAAAAAGTATGCTGTATAACATACTGTATACTTCTAACCATGTATGAAAGTGATGATTTATATCATTGGTTTATGGCCTGGCTCTGGTTAAAGCCTTTGAAAAACAAATTCGATCGCCTTGCCATGCCTCCAGTACTGCTGTGTCTCTGTCACAGCTCAGGAGCAAATATTATACTTTTTACTTCACTACATTTATTTGATAACTTTAGGATTAGGGTTATATATTATAATATATACTGTATATATATTACATTCCACCACTGGATGCTATAACTAGAGCTTATGATAAAAATAATGATGATTATAGTAACGATCATAATAATATTAGTAGTTTTGGTGAGAACCATCTTGTAAATAGCACATGTTAAAATATGAGGTCAGCAAAGACAATACAGAAGAAAAAGAAGGAAAAAAAATAAAAACATGAACTTATTGGCCAGATTAAACTATTACATGTGCTGTGTGTGAGTATTTCTCTAGCGGGATGTGTTAAAAATGGTCTTTCTGTTACAGAAATCTGAAGACATCCGCTGCAAATGCATCTGCCCACCATACAGAGAAGTCGAAGGGCAAATCTACAAACAAAATGTTTCTCTCAAAGACTGGTATGTTCCATTTCTGTCACTACAGTTCCCTAAATGTTCATTTCCTGCGTTCTTCAATCCTGCTAATGTTAAACTCTTGTTTTTCAGTAACTGTCTCCATGTAGTTGAGCCAATGCCTGTGAATGGAAACGATGTGGAGGCGTACTGTTTACGCTGTGAATGTAAATATGAAGAGAGGAGCTCGCGAACCATTAAGGTGACTTGACACTGAAGTGTGTGCGTCAGAGTGTGGGCGGTTGTTGATTTGTCACTTGTCCAAATAGTATTTCGAAATGTATTCAAATTACTGACAACTTGTTTCTTAAATCCCTTTGTTTTCTCAAATAA